CCCCCCCCCCTGTACACCCCCCATGGAGCAGAGCAATTTCATAAATACAATGTAATAATACAATGTTATACTACATTACTATCATCAGAATATCTGTAAGAGCCATTTCACACAAGAGCGGTTGCACTCTGACAGACACTTCTGCTAGGTAACACATAGCAATCCCCGGCTGTCATTCTGACATCCGTCAATTGCCGGTATTGGCGGCGTGTAGGGAGACAGGGGCAGAGGAGCTACATATAGGAGATACGTCCTAGAGGCCTTGCTGAAGTTTTGTAGCGCTTATCTCCTACATTTAAAATCCTGAAGCGGCTATGCGAGAGCAGCGTTGTCACCCTGGGAAGTGTGCTCCCACCGCAGGGCACAGACAGCTTGGTCCCATCAATGAGAGCCACAGCCAATGTACCACTGCACAGCACTGCTTACAGATGTGCAAACAGAGCAACGATGTGGCCAGGGCCCAGGTGCACAATGCAGAAGACATTCCCTGCAGCCAGATTCCAGAGACATCCTCACATGTGGGGGTGGGTGGGTCTGCTTCCTGAATCTGTGCTGTGTAACTTCCTCTATCGATGTATGCATCACAAGGATTTGTATTCTGATTGTGACCGCAGCCTATATATACTTACAATTGCCAGTTGGCCGTACACAAATGGATAGAAGTAAGGAAACGGTCCATGAAGGAAAGCCTAGAAAAAGAAACTCATGTCATTATATCGTACACAGATTTCTAATCTCATCCCTACACCATGGGCCTTATGTGACAAAAGTGCATTAAAGTGTCACGGCAACAGGAAGTGTTTGGGAATTCCAGCATTCTAAGTTGTCATCAGAACCGGAATTGAGAGGAAATCTTTCACTGGGGACACCTGTTCCAGTGATAACTGTCTGCCAGGGAAATTCCCTTCCATGGCAGCATACAATGGGTATGGCTCCGCCCCCAGCCATTGTATCCTGCCATGTATTGGCGTCAGGAAAGGAAAATTACCGATAGGTAAGTATACAATTTTCCGCTGCCACCAGAACAGGAAGTGAAGGGAAATCTACCAAAGGATAAAAATAAACTGATAGGAGTTCTAACCATTCCCTACTTCATCCATGACTGACCAATGAAGTTTCAGCTTTAGATACACTTTATAAAAAAGTTGTATCATTTATTCCTCCAGGGAAACTGGAGGTACATACGTTCTGTGCGAGTAAGCCGGCTGCTGTATAAATGGGGCAAAAACCAATGTTCTTAGTGTAAGTTGCCTTTTGGTGGAATGTTCTTTAATAGGTATAATGAACAGAGTGAATGGGGGAAAATACCACATCGTGGCCAATAGATGGCGGTGAGGATCATAGGAAATAAATACTTGTTAGTAATGAGATACAATGTTACAATTGAGGAGAACACTGGTGGGAATGAGCATATAAATGTAAACATTCCTCTCCCTGTAGTATCAATGATTACATTTATATGCTCATTCCCTCCAGTGGTCTCTAGAATTGTAACCTTGTTTCTGGTCACTAACATGATGATCCTCAGCTCCATGTAATGGACACATTTTATAAATAGACCCCGTAGTTTAGGGTTGAGGGAAGTGGACATTCGGATGACGCCTGCTTGTTTTGGGGTAAGAAGAATTGGTTGCCTCAGAACATCGTCCCCTTATTTCCATTTATAATCTTCTGTATGTAAAGAACACATGTCATTGTTATATTTATTGTCTCCGATATATGGATATCATGACGTGTTTTACTGTAATGACGTGTGATATAAAAATGTACAAATCAACGCTCACCAAGCTGATCATAAACATCATCAAGTTGCTGGGCGGCACCAAGAACAAGTAGATTACATTCATTTCTATTTCTATTGCCCTGAACATGATGTTTGAGGTGCTGAGGAATAGCCAGAGGAAGGAGGTCTGCAAGAGACGAGAGATTCATGTACACGGATGAAATCAACAAGTGACACGCGATATATAACATTTTTATGTCTTAAAGGAGAAGTATGCGGTTAAGTCTTTTCCCCATAGTTCTCCTTAGGGTAACGGGAGGACACAAACTAGCGTCCTCCCGTCACACTACGCTCGGTATATAGGGAGCTACAGCTCCCTATATACTGAGACGCCGCAGCTGAAGCGAATCCCGACAATTATGTCTGGGTCCGCCCAGCTGCGTGAGTGACAGCTGGCTCTGCCTATCTAGAGGCAGAGCCAGCTGTACCCGCCCCCTCCCCCGTCCGTTCCACCAGTCA